TTGGTAATTTCCGGCAATTTCGCGATAAAAAGCGAAATTTCAACTTCAATCAGCGAAATTTTGAAGCGTCATTCCGCGAAAAGTGCATATCCATGACCATAGGTAGTCACCAAACGACGAGGCGTGGTCGGCGACGGTGGCGTCGCGGCACTGCGGGACCGAGAACATGTCGGTCGAGATACCCGCTAAATCGCCCAAAAAACTTTGAGCGCAGGTTGCGCCTTGTTCCCCTCAACGTACAGGCCCCGGGTTTGCTCCATGAGTATCGGCATGACATAAACTTTCAAAATAACCTCGCTTTGTCATAGGTAATTATGTTTACGTTCTTTGAACGTTTTTTGGGAACGGGAAATCGGAGCAAGTTGGCCCTGGGGTGAGTTAGCTGGGGCGAGATGTCCGGCACCTAAAAATATGTTTTCTTCTGTTTCTCCATTCTTGGTTCAGAATGTGCTGGAAATCTGGCACCTACGTGACAGTCATGTTCGGGAAGTGGTCCTCCTGAGGTCTAAACTAGGACAGCACAGGGCGGCTCATTGCGCTCAGCAGATGGATCTGGTGCGGAGTGCGCTCAGCGGCGTCGTGGTTACCTGCAGCACCTGCCAAGGCACCAATCTCTGCCGCTGTGGATGATCTCTGGAGTTCAAAACTGTGTACCATGATTCTCGTATCCCCAATGGCATCCATACATTGAAGTGCACAACTAGCAAGCACTTGTGAGTGTTGAACACTATGTCGAATTTACCTGAAGCAGCAAATTTAGGGACTTGAAAGTGTTCGACTTAAGCACTTTTAAATGTGCAAATTTCTCAATCCAACATGTGAGTCAAACACCTTTTTAGTGTTCAGATTTCGAGCTTAACTCCTGAAAATTAATGCAACACTAGCAAGAGCTTGCTAGTTGCACACCATGGACACCAGTGTAAATGTTGCTGGTAGACTGTAACAGACTGCTACATTATTGCTTGTAAAAATATGAACGGGAACTATCTTCAACAATACAAGAATGATACATTTTTATTTTGCAAATTGCTGTGGCAGCTTTATACTGATCAAAAATTGCCCATGTTCCATGGTGTGGATAATTTGATCCGTTGTTATCCGTTGACTTGAACCTGTACTAAAATATCGTGCTTACTCGAAAACCTCGTCGAAAACAATAACACAAAATCGGAAACAACCATGACACGATATTTAGAAATATGTTCCATTACTTAAGTTACAGAAAAGTCTCAAACAACCAGAAACAATTTGCTTTGTATTCATTTGTGCAAAGATGGCGGTCACAATGACATATGTTCCCTTGTGAAAACGAACTCATCCGAAAATGTATCCGGGTTTGTACCGTAAAGAGTCCGAGACCCTCTGAGGCCCCGGACTTGTACCGCAATCAGTCCGATCGCTGTCGGACTTGCTCCAGAAAAGATCCGTAGCCCGACTCCGTCGGGCTAAAAGCCCGAGTCGGGCTGCTCCGTTTTTACCCGACAGACCCCGGACTGTCCGATTTTTGCCCGACAAACTCGGACAGTCCGATTAGCGCCCGAGACCTCCTGTCGGACTGTCCGATTTCCACCCGATGCGTCAGACTTGTCCGGGTGAAGCCCGACAGGGCGTCCCTCGCGTGGTTCGGACTAGTCTGATTTTAGCCCGATACATCTCAGCATCCCTATGGCTGGGAGCGCTGCTGGCTGAGGCGCACTGTTAAAACATTTATCACAGAGTGAACTAAGTATAAACTTGCGCTTTAAAGTTCTAAATACTTTACGTGCTGACGTGCAATTCTTGATCATACATATGCGATAGCCGTTGAGGCGTTTTCAAGTCCATGGCACAAAATTCAAACAGATAGGGAAACTTTTGCTTTGGCCCAGATGATTTGAGGTCGTCTTACATTTGGTAATTTCCAATGGCTGCCGCTAAGAAAAGGTAACTAAACCGAAAATTTTAAAAATATGGGGCCGCCCGAAAAAAAAAGGATTCATGAAAGTAGAACGGCGCGGTTTGTGTTTGCAAATTAGAATAGGAGAAATAAGGCACTAGTGAGCATCGATGAAATGACCTTAAATGTATGTGAAGTAGCGCCATCGGCCGACAGTCGAAAACCGCGTCATTCTACGTGGAACCGTTCGTCTGTGGGAGCGCAACACTGGTAAAACAAAGGTGCTAATCAACACCTTTAAAAGGCACTAAAGTTCCAAAGGCACTAATGTTTTCGTTTTTGCCAAATATCTTCTACTTGCGCAAAATAATTACTCTTAGACCTAAATTTTCGTATTAAGCTGAAAATTCCGCTCCAAACGAGGTACCATGTGATGGGTGTCTGATGCGCGTTATAGGAAGCCTCGAAAATCGGATGCCTTTCTGTCGTTTGCAAACAGACCCCTATTACATGTAGGCTCGTTTGAAGCGGAATTTTGCACAGAA